AATACGGCCCGTATTGTAGTGCAAAACATGCAATACGGCTGTACTGAATTCAATACGGGCCGTATTGGTTGCAGTACAGGCCGTATTGGGTCAGTACGGGCCGCAGTACAGGCCGTATTGGTTCAGTACGGGCCGTATTGGTTCAGTACGGGCCGTATTGTAGTACAAAATGTGCAGTACGGCCGTACTGAACTCCAAGGAGGCCGTATTGAGCTCTAAACCTCCCACTTTCTTATTTTTTGCTACTCTAAGACCTCTAAACCTACAAATAGTCATCCTATGGTCTTCTGGGAGTCCTTCTGGCTGACTTTCCTTTGATCTTTGAGAGTCTTCGAGTCTTATTTCCGTCCCGGACAATTTTAGGGGTCTACAGGCAGAGCAAGTTTAGATCAATCAAAGTTTGGGTTGTCTAAGGATATTTTATCCCTACACTAATACAAAGAATAGAGATTGCCTACACTTAGAAGAAAGATGATGACAATTGACAATTTATAACGGACAATTTAATGAATTTATGTCCTTAAACAAAATTGTATCTATTTTTGTTTCTTTTGTGAAAACAAACTTTATCATAAAAAATTATAATACCAATAAGGTTTGAATGTAGCACCATCAACACACATATAGATAGGTTATCCCAACTCCTGTTTAAGAAAAATTACCGTATCTATCTTTCACATTTACTTAAAAATAAAAAATAAAAAAGATTAAAAAAAAACTTGGTATGATGTTACCTACGCCGTGATGAACGAGCCCCTTTTGAATTCATATCATTGCATTTTCCTTTACTTTGAATAAAAAACATACATAGAATAGGGCTTTCAATGAGAAGAATATCCTTCAGAATTATCAGATAGAAAAAGAACTTTTTTGTTTCTTTAAACATCTGGTTACAGAACTTTTACAACCAAAATTCAAGTCCTAACAATGATTCACCTCGAAGTACATCAAAAACTAAAAACACACCCCAACAAAAACTTTACTAAACGGTAAAGTCAAAGAATAAAAGAGCAAGACCTTGCCACAATAATCACGTCACTATATATAATGATAGTAATCTTCATGGTCCGAAAATATACTGCTTTCAAATAAATATCATCCAATAAAGTATCTATTCTCTATTTCACTTATATGTACATGGGCTCCTCAAATATCTCAGGCAATGCAAGTTGGTGTGAAGCAGCTAGGGAAGAAACACAACCCTCTCTTCTGCAAAGCAGAAAAAGGTAAAACAAGATTAGAAAAGGAAATTTGTCAAAGCTTTTGCTAAAGATGCAAAAGGCAAAGGTTTGAATATGCAATGAATATTGACATTTATGAAAGTAATTAAAGCTCAACAAAGATGTGTTTAGTGGAGAAAAAAGTAAAAGGGTGTGTGGGGCCAAGAGTAAGACCTTCCTAGTTTTGGCATAAAGAAGCTCTGGTGAGATCTTGTACAAGTCCTCATCCACAGGCTTTGGTTTTGGTCTTGGCATTGGCATTGGACTAGTTGGGGTAGGTACCTCTTTCACGTTACTCACCCAATTCTGCTTTTTTTCTTCTTTTTCATTCTGGCAACGTACCTTTTCCTACAATGTCAGCAACAACATATTAGGAATTCCATCAGAAAAAGTTAATCTGTTTCAATAGACAAAGTTATATAACTTCTTTTTACCAAATCAATATATATAAAATAAATAGCACTTCAATCTTTAATTAAAGATTAAAGAACACAGGAGCCAAATCAATTGCACCAACTACTTTTGGTAGAAAAAGTTAACTTTGAAGTTACATGTCTAACATTTACACATGAATGCTTACCTAGCATAGAGCATGTCATTACAATAATTGTATTGGAATCTCAACCTTCATTACTTTATTACGTTGTTATGATACCGATGGATCCCATTGTCTGTGTTTTTAGTGACCAATTGACATGGACAATAAAGCCTAAAGTTACACCCATTGCACAAAGTCCTCTATAATCATAGTTTATCAGCACAATATTAGTTTAAAATTGTTAACCATGATGAGATATTCAAGGTCACAAACAACCTGTGTGCTCGTGAAAAAGTTGCTGTTTAAATAATTTCTCAGGTCATGGCGTGAATCATGAATGTCATTCAATATTGGAGGGTCCACTATAAAGCAAGGCCATAATTAATAACCATAGAAAAAGTAACAAAGTTGTTTTGTTTTTCCACACTCACGGCCTAACCCTATTATTAGCTAGTATGTATGACTATGCATGGAACAATGGAACTTCGTTTTCTTGTCAATTAATTTCCACCTTCTTTCGAGGCACCATTACTTCGTTTTACAAAATTCAAATTTAAAATTAAAAGACTGAAGGCATTTTATTGTGATAACTCCAAGCATATAGACAAAACAAAGATAGTAATAAAAATAAGACTCAAAGACACTTCTTAACTGTGATTTGTGAACCAAAACCATACTAGCTAGAGGGCGAAAATTAGTACCTAATAATATTGTATATTCTTGTTAGTTGTAGAACTACACTGAAGGTTAATTTTTTAATCGCTTTAAAAATCGTTACATTAACGTGAATGATTCAAAATATTAATGACTAAATAAAACAGAGGAACTTTCTTTTCTTTTTACAGCTAATAAGTTTAAAGCATTGTTTAGAGTTTTTTTTTTATCAAAAATAAAGAATGTTTTTCACTAAAAAAGACTTTTAAAAGTTCTTTTTAATTTTGTATCCAAACATAATTTAAACCTAGATAAGAGTAAAAGAATACTGACAGTTTTCCGAATGAAAAAAAAGAAAGAAAAGAAAAGTGTACATTACTTAATTTTACATCTTAACTCATCTTTTTAGTACCGACTAAAATGAATGCATGACGAGAAAAATTAAACGATGAAGAAAACCCAAGTTACTTTGAATCTTAATAATCTTCAGTCAATGAAAATAAAATACGCATTAGAAGCTAAAAAATACGTGAAAACATGAAATTAAATTTACATTTAGATGCAGTAATTTAGTTACTTAGTGTTCTTCTCTTAACAAACTAGAAATTTTACCTCTATAAGATGTAATGATGATGTTTTTTGTAAGCTTTTCTTCACAAAATTATCCAAATGCATGAACACAAACTCCTATTAGGAAAAAAAAATAAAAAATAAAAAAATAAGCCCGAATTTTGTCCCTTACAACTATCATCCTCAGAGTATAAACGAATAAAACTTTCTCTATAAATAAGAGTCGCACTTCAACTTTTTCAAAAAAAGAAAGGATCTTGTATAATGGGAGAAATTTTATCTTATTTATTTATTGTCTCATAAAAGTTAATGTAAAGATTATGTAAATGATTTGTATAAGAATGAGAATTTAGGGGCATATATATGATAGAACATACCCTTTTGCGAGGAACAACGATCATAGCGGGTGTGACAACATCATTCTCGTACAAGTCCCCAGTGACATAAAGATCTCTATCTTCAGACTCCGAGTAACTATACCTAAGCAAACCAGCTTGTCTCGCAGACTCGAAGCATTGTGTGAAAGGAAGATTATCATTCCAATCCCAGCTTCCAAACGCTGGCACATGCATGTGGTGCCTCTTGTAGTAATACTCCTACACCCCATCAATCATGTACATAAATAAACAAGTACCATAGCATAACAAAATACATATACAAGTAATACATGAGTTATATATATGTATATGTGACTCACTTCCATTGCAATCTGCAGCTACTAAACAAAGTGTTAATAAGTTTGTTGAGTGAAAGAGTGTGAGGGAATAGGCTTATATGGTTGGAGGGTAAGGGCTTAAAAGGGGGGAATGTGTGATGTGAGGTAGAGAGAGAGAGAGAGAGATAGGGTATGTAGATGGAAAGCAAAGTAAGGTAAAAAGTGAAAAGGAAAGGAAGGGAGATAAGGAAGTTTCACAGTGGGAAGCAGAGGGACAAAGAGGTAAGGTATGGGAAACAACGAGTGAAGAAGGTGAAAAATGATAAGGAAATAAGAGTGAGTGAGAGACATACGTTGCTTCTTTTGTTTGCTTCCGTGTAATATCCCGAGACAAACTCTAATCTCTAACAAAAGAAAAAAAGGTACTCCGATAAAGAACTCAAGTTCCGATCTTTAATTAAAATATCCTATATTATATTTTTATTATTAGCACCAAAGATACATGTGCTGGCCAACTTGGTTAAATACGTTAAATACGTGTTTGCACCGAGTTGAGTTGAAAAAATTGATTTGTCTAGAGTGTTGGTCAAATTTGATATGACTCACTTCAAGATTTACTTTGGTTGAACTCATAATGAGTTTGATTAACTTGCAAATTAAATATATATATATATATATATATATATATTATATATTTATTATAATAAAATGAAGAAAGTCTGTAATTCTTTTTTTTCGTTCAAAATAAGGATATTTATATAATTTTATCATAATATAATTATTGTGAATTTTAATTTTTTTATTTTAATAAATTCTGATTATAAGAAAAATCTTTCTTCTTTCTCTTTGTTTTATATAAAAGAAAAATTCTTTCTCTTCCTCTCTGCTTTATGACTTTTTTTTTTAATATATCAAATTTTTTTTTATTTTTCTGAATAACCTCACCCCCATTTTATTTATCAAAATGACTCATTTACTATTTAAGGTGAGAAATCGGTTGGGGAGAAGCGATTTCTCACCTTCAAATTTTATAACATGTAAAGATTTGCAGTGAGAAATCGATTAACGTGAAATCGATTTCTCAACTGCGTTATTTTGTTTTTAATTTTTTTTTTTGGTTTTTAGTTTTTTTTTTCGTTTTTGTTTTTTTTTCGTTTTTGTATTTTTTTTTGTTTTGGTTTTTGTTTGTTTATTTTTTTTGTTTTTGTTTTTTTTTTTGCTTTTGGTTTTTGTATTTTGTTTTTTATTTTCGTTTTTGGTTTTTGTTTGTTTTTTTTTTATTTTGTTTATTCAGATTTCTAATTTTTTATTTTCCTATATTAATTTTGAATATTCAGGTTTTTTTAAAATTTTTTTAGTATTTTCAAATAAAATAATTTAGTTAAGTTTGTAGAATAAAAATAAATAATGAAATAATTATTAATTAAATAAATAATGAAATAAATATTAATTAAAAATTTTAACAAAAGATAAAATATTTATATAAAATACTAGAAAACAAAATACAATATTTGGAAGGTTTGATGACATTTTAAGGTTGATGACTTGAACTTCCTTGACGGTAAGGACATTTTTTCTTTGAGTGACCTACATTTCTGCAGAGAGAACATCTTTTTGGTTGTCCTGGTTCAACCATATCCATTTCAGTGCGTATTCTGGATGACTTTAGACGACCTTTTTTATTTCTAATCTTTTCCGGATTTGGTATGATTTGCGGTTCTTCACAATCCGGCCAACAAGATTCATTAGGCAGTTCACCAAATAATTCGTTATACACATTTGAAACATATTGTAATGTGTATACCGGATCTATGTTGATTATGGAGTTTGGTTTAATTTTAATCAAGAATTTAATCTCCATGGCTTCTTTGATGGTGATTAGGGAGGATTATTGGATGATATGAAAATCACTTCAGGCTATTGTTTCAAATTTGGTTTTGGAGTATTTTTTTGGAGTTCAAAGAAGCAAGATATTGTCGCACTATCAATTGTTGAAGCAAAGTTCATTATTCCTACTGCATCCATTAATCAAGGTTTGTGGGTGGGAAAAATCTTGTTGACTTACAAATAGTTTAAACATATTCAGCCAAGGTGTTCGTAGATAATCAAACAACAATTTAATCAAATAATTCAGTCTTTCATGGGAAGACGAAGCACTTTAATGTTAAACCCTGTTTTGTTAGAGAATTCCAAAAGCAAGAGGAAGTTAAGTTATAGTGTTGAAAGACTAAAGACCAGTTGGTAGACATCTTTACAAAAGCCACTTTTGGAAGGAAAGTTTGAGAACTTGGGAGAGAAACTTGGAGTTCACAACTACTAATGTAAGGAGGAGTGTTGAAAATATGAATAACTATCTATTGTTATATTTTATTAAAGTTTATCGTAGAATATTTATTTTCATGACTATAACATCCCTTTTTTCATAAATAAAAATAAAATAAGTGCTTAATAGAATACTTATATTTTCTTAATTAATTAAATTAATTGGGTTAGTACTATAATTCAAATGTTTTTATAAAATAAAATAAATATAAAAAAGGTTGTAGGGAGAAAGGGGGTTTGGGTTGGACTCTTGAGTCAAAACTACAGGCTTATTAAAAACAAAAAAAAATTATATAAGGGTAGGTCATTTTTCACTTGTCTGTTCTGAACCCTAAAAGCACCTATAAAGGAGAACCTTTAGGAAGTCACCAGAAAAAGTGCAGAGTAACGACTAAGGCTACGAAAAGTGAGTTGTGCTATAGAATCATCACTCAAGGTAAGAGGGAGCGAGGATGTCAAATTTGTGTACTCGTATAAGAGATATGGGTAGTGAGACAACTCCTAAGTCTTTTATATTTTTATTTTAATTTTCATGGATATCTATATATGAATCTATTGTTAAAAGTATGTGTTGTCTTAGTAAATTTGTTTTTGAACTATGATTGAATTGGTATAATGGTGAATTGCAATGTTTGAGAGTTAGGGTTATGAGTTTTAGGGGTTTTGACTTGATTAGATGAATTTGAATTATCTCATGATGTTGTGTTGTTATGTAAGCATTGATTAACTATTCAACCATTTGAATTAATAAAAGAAACAATTTAATGTGTGTGGACAGGTTGGAAAGAACCCAAATCATGTAGCTCATGATTCTATGAAGTGTAGAATCTGTGACAGTGTTGGGCACAAGAGCGTAGTTCTTTTTGTTAGGTGTGAAGCGAGTAATGTCGAGTCCAAGGATGTTAGAATGGTCCCAAAATTCTCTACACTGGATGACAGGGGTCTTATCTAGTGCCCCATTGACATTGTTTTTAGGAAGGACTTACGTCAAACATGACATGGGTCACGTTGGGAAGTGTTGTTCCAAAGCAGTCTTTGACTCTTGTGTACTGGGCATGGGAATTACTACTCCACCCTAGGCACAAACACCACCACATCAAGCGTGAATCTGGTATAGAGATCCCTGATCTCTTTGTGTTGGACGCGAGTTCTAACTTGTTGAGCATGACACCTTTTTCAATTTAATTGTGTTTATAAGAATAATTTGGTGATGGAGGAGTCTATAAGGAGTGATTAATGTTATAATTAAAAGAAGAGAATAAAAAAGTTAGTAATAGTGATAAAATAAATAAAAGAAAGATATGAGAAAAAATTATAAGTGTGAATTCAAGTATGGTGTGTTGTGAGTAATGATGATGATGGTGATGCTATTATAATAATAATGCATGATGATGTTAGTATAATGATGAATGATGATGATACGTGATAATGATGAAGTATGAGGATATTAATGAGAACATAAGTCCTTGCCACAATTGACAATGATGAGATTTGAGTTGTAATGCATGCCAATATGGGAAACATTCCAGACTAACATTTCCACGATCAAGGTGGAGAGATCACGATAATTGTAGTTGATTCATACAGACGTTGGAGGACCACAACCTAAATCATCTTTAAAGAGGGGTTGATATTACATTTCCTTTATTGATTATTTTCTAGAATGTGTTGGATTTGTTTCTTAAAATTCAAATATGAAGTTGCAAGAGTTTTTATTTGGTGGTTTATGACTTAGATTGAAAATCAATCTAATTGTAAAATTCAAGTTTTATGGTCTAACAATGATAAAGATATGCCTAAGATCAATTTAATTTTTTCTATGAAGTGGTTGGGATTGAGCACCAACTTGCTACTCTTTACACTCCACAACAAAATGGAGTAAATGGGAGGAAGAATAGAATAATAATAAAGATGGCTAGATGTATGCATGAAAAAGGACTTCAAAAGAAATTTTGGACCGAATCTACTAATACGGCTCTATTTCTGTCAAAATAGTCTTCTTACAAAAGCAGTGCAACAAAAGGCCCCTTTCAAAATATGGTATGACTACAATTTTTTTGTAAAAAACTTAACAATTAGATTTGTTTATTTTAACAACTCCACTGTTAAAAAATTGAGCTCTTATTAGGGTGTTTAAGGAAATTACAAATCCTTTAATGTAGAATAATAAAATATTTGACAAAATAATAAGGTAATTGATTTATATAAGACATAAACTATCAAACTTATTATATAAAACAAGAAAACTAATCTAGCATTAAGATTTTTTCTAGTTAAAATATAAAAGTATTTGAATTGTTATAAATTAAATATATTTAGGTATTAACAATAAATGATAAAAAAACAAAAAAAAAACTAAATTAAAAATCTGATTATATTATTTGTTTATTTTTTTTGTTTTTGTTTTTTTTTTTGCTTTTGGTTTTTGTATTTTGTTTTTTATTTTCGTTTTTGGTTTTTGTTTGTTTTTTTTTTATTTTGTTTATTCAGATTTCTAATTTTTTATTTTCCTATATTAATTTTGAATATTCAGGTTTTTTTAAAATTTTTTTAGTATTTTCAAATAAAATAATTTAGTTAAGTTTGTAGAATAAAAATAAATAATGAAATAATTATTAATTAAATAAATAATGAAATAAATATTAATTAAAAATTTTAACAAAAGATAAAATATTTATATAAAATACTAGAAAACAAAATACAATATTTGGAAGGTTTGATGACATTTTAAGGTTGATGATTTACTTATTAATTTTTTATATGATTAAAAATATATATTTAAATTATTCTTAATTATAAAGTTAATTAATATTAAACCCAACATAGAAAATAATATAGATGGGGACATGAGAATGGAATGTGAAATATGTTTGGTTATGCAAGAATGGACCAATATGAGATATTAGGCCTATTTGTGTTTGAATGTCTACTTATGTATTAAAAAATATATGATTGGACTTAACAGGAATGTCATTCTTATGTCTAG